CAATGGCGTGGTCCCTGGAAAGAAGCTTCGGTTAATGGGCTATCGAGTTTTTCAAAAAATGTTTGAATAATGATCAGTAGCCGCACTTTTTGTGCTTAGGCTGAAATTAGTCGGTACAAAAAATGTTTGCAATAATAATTTGCTACAATGGGTGAGGACACTTTTGGTAGGAGACGGACATATGCGCGCCCTTTGATCCTGCATAGTTGCAGCCGCTTCTGCCTGTGAACGTTTTCCTTTGCCTCCGTTCCTCCTTTCCGCAAATAGTCGAGTCTGTGAGTGGTTTCCGACATGTAAATCCGATTGCAATCCAATGATCATTGTATAAGCTCGAGGTACACGCGCGGTCCCACGCGCCAGGCAGCGAAAAAGAGCGAGGTCGTCAACGAGTGAAAGATTCTCCATGGATAGAAACCAACTGGTGTCGGGAGCACCGTTGAAGCGAGTTCAATTCTCTGCCGAAGAAATCAGCAGTTGCCGAAATCCATGTCCTAATGAAGTGCGAAAGCTTCCCTCGTCCTGCTGTCTGTTTTTGGGGTGGTGTGCAAATGGGTGAGAGCGTGACAAGTGAGAGAAGGAAGGGGTGATGGCGGTCGAAGAGGGGAGTATAGCGCTGCGGGAGATGCCACCACACGCACACCACCGACTCATGGCCAGATTGAGACACAGAGAGTGCGCGGCAGAGACACAGCGTAGGCTGGATGGATACTCCTGCTGCCAGTGGTGCTTCTTTCTTCTGGTCAGTGCAAGACAACTGCTGCTACACGTTCTGTAACGGTCTGACCATTCCAACTTCGATTCCGCGAGCGGTGCCTATCGGCGAATCGATTGCTTCCGGTCAGCCGAACCCGCCTTGCTGAAGTATTACGCATGATTATGACATCTTTCTCACGTGCCCAAGTCAAATTATTAGGTGGTACAATGGCATTGGAAGTGGATTGTCTTCAATGAGCATTTCCATATTTGTTTTTGAAGGAATAGTGCTCGATTTTGCTGTAAATGTTATCGTTTTCTTTCATTAATATTGCTAGCTTTTTGGTACATATTATTAATTGATGTTATTTGCTTTCAAAGCATTAAATGCCACTTATTGGTTTTCTGGTCTTAAATATTCTAGCGCATCAATAAAAAAAGTGAGCATGGTTCACGATGCCATTAATTCATGACTTTGTTTTGTGTCAGATCTTCTCATTTGTACCATCTGAAGGTTCAGAGATTTAGCTTAGGAAATTTCTATTTGGTCTTACCATTTCGTTCAAAGCATGCTAAGTAGCTTTTGAGAACATCAAAAAGAAAAAGTTCTCGTTAGTTCTGATGATATTGTTACTTCGTCGATAAAATAGCTGACATCCAAATACATAGCTTATGTGTTAGTTAGCTGAGTAGGTCATACTTGGTTTTCTTATCAGTTCTGATATTCACATGGAATTTCGGGAAGAATTGGCGCAACGGGCAAGATTTTTTTTCTCAATTTGTTCCCAATAATAAGATCAATAATAAGACCAGCGTCTTAACTGCCAGCGTTGCCTGGGTGTCGCATCCTGTTGACAGCGCATGGCCGGTTGCCTTGTCATGAAAATGTGCATACCTTTTTCATCATCCATTACTTCTCTTATGTTAATGGTGTGTCGTCATCTATGGTTTTTCTTAACCCTTTGTTCCCTTGATTTTTGTGGAGCATTCTTCCATGTTTACTGTTTTTTTTTTTTTTTCTACTACGTGCTATTTCTCGTAAATCTATCGCCAGAGAAAGCCGTGCATTCTCATCATTTTTATATCTTCCAGTCATGGACGGATGTGGTCAAATGCAACCGCGTATGGGTACGCCTACGAATGTGATGCATATTCAGCAAGGTAGGATGTAGTTGTATTTGTAGGGATTCCATTCGCAGTATACAAATAGGAAATGACATTTCAACGTTAATTGCGGCTGTAGATGTTGACTTAAACCAGCCTCCTTCAAATATCTCTACTGTTTTTGATTTTGGCTTCAACATGTGTTTATGTCTACTCTCTTGTTTGTATTTACTTTTGCTACGTTCTAGTTAGAAGGTGGTTTCATTCGCATCTTCCTTTGCTCAGGTACTATTGAAAGTCCATCGGTCTGTAGTGCACCAATGACACCTCAGCAGATGCACACAGCAGCAGCAAGGCATGATGCAAGGACAAGCAACATCAGCAGGACAGTTGATCAAAGTGGAGGATTCACTCCACAACAGCTACAAATGCCACAGGGGTATCCGCAAGGGGTACCAGAGAGCCCAGGTAAAGTGCCCTATATTCATTGAATTGCGTATGTACATATTCAGATGTTTTCTGCTTGAAGTTGATATCAAACATTAACTTGATTTTTTGTTCGGAGGAGTCACGCTGTTGGGACTTGCGCTATATTTGTCCAATCTCATTGCAGGGTTTTCGGGGATTTTTACCCCCTTAATCTCAAAGCGAAACAAATCCCTTCTCTTTAGTCCATAGTTCGCCTAACTGATCGGCAATCTCAGAAATTATTATCAAGAGGCCCAGTTTGCTAATCACTAAAGGGCTCCTGAAAATCATTAAAAAAAATGTTTTTCAAGTACAAGTAGCTAAACAATAACGAATGTAGGTGCGGTCCTAGAGTAATAAGTTATTTTCCGTTTTGAAAGCAAATAATCTACTAGATGGGATTCCAATTTTCCTGCCACCGTAATACATGCCCACGGCGCGGCTACAATGGACTAGATTTCTTGTTTGTCCGTTTACACCACGGTCATCGATTTTCTTAAGTCTCGTTGCCTCTAAGAATTTTCGCTTTCCCATTCATGGGTGCGAAATTCCTTTAGGGTCTATTTATAATTCTGGTTTTGTTTTCATTTTGAAGCACACCATCCTTATTGGTGCAGCTTGCTGGACACAGTGGTTTTTATGAATGTATCTGTTTTTGTAGGTGCTATACAAATGCAGCAACAAATGATGGTCACAGGTGCCAGTGGACAAGGAGATGGCTCACCGGGAATGTATGTCCGACAACAGCAAATGTTGGGACAACAGCACAGCAGCAACAACAACAACAACAAATGATGAACCAGCAGCAAGTGCAGCAGCAGCAGCAACAAATGATGGGGCAGCAACAGGCCCATGAATGGGCCAACAAGTGGGTGCTATCCAGTGACGTTGCTTTTCTGGGTTGAAAAAGCTTTATTTTTTCTTCGTCGAGTTTTTTGTTATCTGCTAGGTGGCAGCCTAATTCGTCGAAATTTCACGAAATCAAAAAAAATAGAGCAGGGTATGTTTGTAGCTGTCAGTGCAGCTCAAACCGATTTTTAATCGCCTCATTCGTTTTTCTCACACTGTGCATAGCTTTGAAGTTGTTCGTTTTTTTCTCCTTGTTTTAACCCTTCATTTAACCTTCGGGCTAAATTCAAGGCAGTAGTCATTCTGATATTTGAAGCATAAAACGTGCACAGTCTGTGGAAAAGGTTGTAAGAAAGACCTGCACAAGAAAATCACGTCCAGACCTCATTCATTCCTTCTTAAGATTGATAAGTAATCGAGGAAATATGAAGAGATGGTGTGAAGGTATTCATTGTGGGGCACACAGAACTGCATTCGTTTTCCTTTTGCGTGAATATTTGAGCCATAACTAATTACTTTAGGCTTCCTTATTTTTTTCCTTTGTAGATGATAGTACCGGCACAGATGGGCATGATGGGCGGTAACCCTCAGCAGTATTATCAGCAACAGAATCAGCAGGCGCAGTGGACGCAACAGCAGCAGCAAGTCAGTTGTTGCTCTCTTTTGCTAGAAATGTGGATAAATTATAAGTTAATTCGCTCTATGTACTCTGCGTCTATACTCAACAAATGCATTCTTCCTTCTCCCTCCTCTCACCTCACTGTTCATGTAAAGCAAAGATAATGAAATAAGGAATTTGCCGAGTGTAGGCGCAGCCTCAAT